ATCAAGTTTAATGTGTACCACCGGTGGTACACATGGCACGGAACGTGTTAACACTTGAAAGCTATCGTCGCTTCGTTTCTTTACAGTTACGAGGTTGTGATTGCGAAGGTTCGACAAAATATGGATCAATTTAACGAGTACATTCGAGGGATGAGCATGGATTTAGTATTCTTCCATGATGCTCTGGTGCATCTGATTCGAATATCGAGAATCCTTGGCGTTTCTCGAAGCAACGCGATGCTGGTAGGTGTTGGGGGATCAGGCAAACAGAGCCTGACTCGACTGGCCTCTTTCATCGCTGGCTTTAGTTTCTATCAAATTACGTTGACCAGGTAATTCATACCGACTTAAAAAGGAACACAGGTGAAATAAGTTATACACGTGTTATATACAATTATATTATACGACGTATTATACAACTCATAATTTGTTAATTAATATTATTAATATCAATTGGAAGAGCAAAAGTGTATCATAACATTTTCATCGCAATATCTTTATCGACCCTGTCTAGGACTTACAGCGTTGGAAGTTTACTGGAAGATCTGCGAAAAGTGTATCATACAGCTGGTGTGGGAAGCAAGGGGCAGACGTTCATATTTACCGATAACGAGATAAAAGAGGAATCTTTCCTGGAGTACATAAACAATATATTGAGCGTTGGAGAAATCGCGAACCTGTTCCCAGCAGATGAACTTGATGAAATTTTAACGACAGTGACGCCTATGATGAAGAGCGACGACCCAAAGCGACCACCCACACCGGATAACCTATACGATTATTTCTTGACACGTGCGAGAGATCAGTTGCATATGGTCTTATGCTTTTCACCAGTGAGCAACCGAATTTTGAATGAATTCTTCTTCCTAGATTCTCGGAGGAGTTATGATTCCTTTAATCCTTAAAATTTCCTGTATTATTATTATTATTATTATTTTTGTTTCCTTTTCATATCAGAAGAAATTCAATTTACGTGAAGCGTGCATTCACTTGCGAATTACGGTTAGGTTAGCGAGAAGTTCAGATCACGAGCATTGAAATTCCCTGGTCTTATATCTGGTTGTACGATAAATTGGTTCTGGCGATGGCCGATAGATGCTTTGTACGAAGTCAGTGACCACTTCTTAAAGAAATACAAAATAATATGCTCCGCAGAGACAAAACAACAATTGATAGATGTTATGGGAGACGTGCACAATAATGTGAATGACGTTTGTGCACAATATTTCGATAGGTAGTGCTATATTGTAATTGACTATAATTAATTGTCATATAAATTCATGGATGTATGATCTTTCTCCCTGAACAGATTCCGGAGACAAGTATACGTCACTCCAAAATCGTTCTTAACTTTCCTCAGCGGATATAAACTACTTTACAAACAACGTTTGGATAATATCAATATGCTCTCGTACCGTATGAGCAGCGGTTTGAGCAAGTTAGTCGATGCTGCAGCTCAAGTCGACGAATTGCGTAAAATTTTGGAGAAGAATCAACAGGAAATCGCGGAGAAGAACGTGCAAGTCGAGGCTGTTCGTATATTTTTGTATTAGTAACAAGCTTTTACTATTGCATTGTTCTTACTTTTGATGATTATTATTGTTTTGTAGATCTTAGTCACTGTGAATGAAAAGAAGAAAGAGGCGGAAATGGTGAAAGCGCAGGTGCAAGTTTCTAAGGACGAGGCGGAAGCTATTTTGAAAGTGATCGCGAAAGAAAGATCTGTAGCGGAGCAAAAATTGAAAGCTGCAGAGCCTGCTTTATTGGAAGCAGAAGCTGCCTTACAAGTTGGTTTATACTTATTTAAATTGAAGATGTATAATTATAAATATCAAATGCTGGATTTGATTTTTTTCACGATTCTATCTTTTCCATTTCAGACTATTAAAGCCGCTGATATTGCGACAGTAAGAAAATTAGGCAAACCACCATATTTGATTACTCTCATCATGGACTGCGTGTTGATACTGTTTGGAAGAAAATTGGATCCAGTTAAGCCTGACTACGAACGACAATTTTTAACTCCTTCGTGGTCTGAAGCCTTAAAAGTAATTCTATTTAATAATATCAGAAGATTAATATTTTAAACAATATTTAATATTTAATATTTAATACACAAAGAGTTATTTTATTTTAACTGTTATAGATGATGGCTGATGTTAGATTTCTTTATCACTTGCAAAATTTTCCAAAGGACAATATCAATGCCGAAACTATCGATTTGATGCAACCATATTTGAATTATCCCTTGTACACGTATGAAGCTGCAAAGCAAGCTTGCGGAAACATTGCTGGCGTCATTCAGTGGACCATCTCGATGGTTACATTCTACGGAATAAACAAAGATGTTCTTCCATTAAAAGTACTGTTTCTTCACTCCTTGCTTCACTCCTTGCTTGAATCGTCAACTTAAGAAAATGGAATCTATCCTTTATTTAAACTCATAGGCAAATTTAGCTGTACAAGAAAGCAAATACGAAAAAGCCAATCGAAATCTGATGGAAGCTGAAAGTCTTTTGAAAGCGAAAGACGAAGACTTAAAAGTGGTGCAAAAAGAGTTCGATGGTGTGATGGAAGAACGTCAAGTAACTTATATTTAAAATATATATAGAGTATATAAATATATATATGTATATTTTTTTCTCTTTTTTTTTTCTTTGCAGCGCTCTGTGCTTTCTAATCCATAGTTTTTCTGTCTCTAAAATAAAATTTATCTCGCCAGAAAATAGTTGATTTAGCAGAAATATGCCAAGCGAAAACGGACACAGCCACGGCAATGATCGAGGGCCTTTCTGGCGAAAGAATAAGATGGACGGAGCAAATAGCTGCCTTCAAATCGGAAATAGATCGTCTGGTTGGCGATGCGTTAATTCTAATAGGTTTCTTATCGTATTGTGGGCCCTTCAATCAAGAATTCAGGTCGTTATTACAAAGACAATGGTTTGATTTTATCCACGCTCGAAAGATCCCGGTTTCTCTTATGATAAATATTACGGCTAGTTTGACTGACACTGCTACTGTGAGTAGAATATTTAGGAAATATTTATTAGTTACAAAATTTCACGAAATTATTTAGCACTGGCTTTTTAAAGATTGGAGAATGGAGTTTGGAAGGTCTGCCAACGGACGACTTATCCATTCAGAATGGAATTATAGTAACGCATGCAACCAGATATCCTCTTTTAATCGATCCTCAATTACAAGGTAAAGCATGGATCAAGAACAAAGAGGAAGAATTTCAGTTGCAGGTGAAATATTTCTTTTTTATTTTCTTTAACATTCAACTAGTAAAACCTTAATCCGTTCTGACGTTTGATTTTAGGTAACGTTCTTCTCACACAAATATTTTAGAAATCACTTGGAAGACTGTGTTTCTCTGGGCCGCCCATTGCTAATCGTAGATGTAGGAGAGGAATTGGATCCTGTTTTGGATAATTTGTTGGAGAAGAACTTTATAAAAATAGGAACTTTTTTGAAGGTATTCAAATTGTTCCAGGAATGCCCATAAATATATAAATGATTTTTATAGGTGAAATTAGGTGATAAGGAAGTAGATATCCATAAGGATTTTAGACTTTACATCACTACAAAGTTACCCAATCCGTCATATACTCCGGAAGTATTTGCACGTGCCGCTATAATCGACTTTACCGTTACTGTAAAAGGTACAAGTAATTTCTGATAAAATGGGATTCGATTTTATATATCATGTGCTATACAGGATTAGAGGATCAATTGTTAGGAAGAGTTATTTTAACGGAGAAGAAAGAACTTGAAACAGAAAGGACGCAGTTGATAGCAGATGTAACTGCAAATAATAAAAAGATCAAAGAATTAGAAGCTAATCTTTTACATAAATTGACCACCGTAGAGGTATGTATCTTATTTTAATTTAACTCGTAAATTTCAACTGTATCATATTTTATTCATTTTCAGGGATCTTTGATAGAAGATGTAGAATTAATGTCTGTATTAAATATTACGAAACAAACAGCTGCTGAGATAAACGAGAAGTTAAGTATAGCGAAAGATACGGAATTGAGAATCGATTCAGCTCGAGAAGAATTTCGACCAGTGGCAACACGTGGTAGTGTCTTGTACTTTTTAATTTGCGACATGTCTTTGGTCAATTGCATGTATCAGACAGCGCTTGTTCAATTCTTGGAACGTTTTGACCTTTCTATGGAAAGGTATATATGATTTAACTTGAATATATTTTTTTTTATTTTTATTTGTAAAGAATTACCAAAGTTGGATATAAAAATTAGATCCGAGAAGAGTCCAATTAATCAGCGAAGAATCAATTTCATTATCGAATATCTCACGTACGAAATCTTCAAATACAAAGCAAGAGGTCTCTACGAAATTCATAAATACATGTTCATTCTACTGATGACGTTGAAAATTGATTTACAACGTGATGCTATTTCTTACGAAGAGTTTCAGTACTTTATTAAAGGTGGTGCAGCTTTGGATCTAAACACAGTTGCACCAAAACCTTGCAAATGGATTACAGATGTCACTTGGTTAAATTTAATTGCACTCTCTGCCCTAAGACAATTTCACTACATTCCTTCTCAAGTTCCAGCTTCTGAAAAGCTTTGGAAGCAATGGTTTGACAAACCTGCTCCAGAAGAAGAACCAATACCTAATGGCTATAATGCATTAGATACTTTTCGTCGTTTATTGTTAATTAGGTTGTTCTGACTATTTAGTTTGAAATATATTGATTAAAGAGCATTGTATACAATGTATATAATGAATTTTTAGAGCTTGGTGCATAGATAGAACACTGTCACAGTCAAGAAAATACATATCAAGTTCATTAGGAGAAAAATATGCAGAGCCTGTAATTACTCTTTTGGATGTGATGCTCGATGAATCAAGGCCAGATACTCCAATGATTTGCTTCCTGAGTATGGGTTCTGATCCTACGCACAGTATAGAACATCTTGCTAAAAAGTTGGAGATAATATGTAGAAGTATCTCAATGGGGCAGGGACAAGAGGTCCACGCAAGAAAATTAATGCAAAGTGCAAAGACTGAAGTTAGTTTTGAATGAAAAGCGCCTTAAGCGGAAATATATAAAAAAATATATAAATAATTTATAGGGTTATTGGGCACTGTGTCAGAATTGTCACTTGGGTTTGGAATATATGCAAGAGTTAGTTAATTTTATTCTGGAGATGGAGGATCCCCATCCTAATTTTCGTATATGGATTACTACAGAACCACATAAGGACTTCCCAATATCTCTTTTGCAAATGTCCATAAAGTATACTTATGAACCTCCACAAGGTAAACGAAAAATAATTTTTAAAATTTATTATTTCTACATTTTTTCCATCCATATTAGGAATAAGAGCAGGTTTGCTTGCCACATATAGTGGAATGCATCAAGAAATGCTAGATCAATGTGATGCTTCACAATACATACCAATTATATACACAGTATCATTTTTACACACTATAGTGCAAGAAAGAAGAAAATTTGGACCACTTGGTTGGAATATACCATATGAATTTAATCTATCAGATTGGCTGGCATCTTGCATGTTCATTAATAATCATTTGAATGATTTTGATATAAAACAAGGAATAAACTGGCATACAATAAGGTAATACAATAAATCAGCTTTTTTTAATCAACTCGATAATCAATAAATTCGATAAAAACATACTTTTAGATACATGATAGGAGAGGTACAATATGGAGGACGTGTTACAGATGATTATGACAAAAGATTGTTAAACACATTTGCTAAACTATGGTTTTCAGATTCAATCTTTTCAGAGGATTTTGTGTTTTATAAAGGATATCCAGTTCTCGTTTATAAGCAAGTTACAGAATATTTAAAAATAATTGATGAAATGAATCCTATAGATCCGCCACAAGTTTATGGTTTGCATCCTAATGCAAATATCACGTAAGAACATTTTTTCACAATGTTCCATCTGTAACCGCATTGAAGAAAATTCATAAGAAATTTATAATACTATAGATATCAAAGTAACACTACACAGGCTGTTTTAGATACTATAATATTTGTACAACCAAAAGAAGCAGGTGTGGGTGTTGGTGAATCTAGAGAAGTAATTGTAGCTAGGCAAGCAAAGGAAATGTTAAAAAAATTGCCACCAAGTTATGACCCATTTGAAGTAAAAGAGAGGTACACAAAACGGTATTTCTAAACAATTGTTCCTGTCAATTGATCGAGAATTGCTATTCTGCAGATTGCACGTATTAGGCGCCACTGCACCAATGACTATTTTCTTGAAACAAGAAATTGATAGAATACAAGTAATTATTACACTAGTGGATGCTACTTTAAAGGATCTTTTACTTGCTATAGAAGGTGTTATCATAATGTGTGAGGTAATTTCTTTATTCTAATCCTACATTAAATAGTAACTACATTAAATAAATTCATCCTACATTAAATAAATTCATATAATGCAAATAATATTTAGGAATTGAGGGATGCTCTTGATAATATATACGATGCTAGAATACCAAAATCATGGAGAGCAAAATCATGGGAATCATCCTCTCTTGGTTTTTGGTATACTGAACTGTTAGACAGAAACAAGCAATTTTCTACTTGGTTGCACACTGGCAGACCAGTCAAATTTTGGATGACTGGATTTTTTAATCCACAAGGTATATACAAATTTACAAATAGATTTTGTTATTTCAATGTAAAATAACCTTTATTATAGGATTTTTAACTGCAATGAGGCAAGAAGTAACAAGGGTTCACAAAGGTTGGGCTCTGGATAATGTGACTTTACACAATGAAGTCTTACGCTATACAGCAGAAGAAATTAAAACTGAACCTCAAGTATGTTAATTATCTGTGTATATACAACAATAAATAATAATTATCTTCTATATACTAGGAGGGTGTTTATGTATATGGACTATTTCTCGAAGGAGCTGGATGGGATAGAAGGAATAACAGACTATGTGAATCTGCAAATAAAGTTTTATATGTATTAATGCCTGTCATTCACATTTTTGCTCTATATAATGTCCCTGATAAAGATCCAAAATTATATCAGGTAAAAATATGAGGTATTAAGAACTTCAAATTTATTAATACTATCATGGTATTCACAGTGTCCAGTGTACAAGAAACCACAAAGAACGTATGTACTATTTATAACACCGCTTTGGTTGCAAACAATTAGGCCACCAGAATTTTGGATTCTACGTGGTGTGGCTTTATTATGTGATATTAAATAAATGTAAAACTTGTATCCTGCTTTAAATTGATATACTTTAAATAAAGATATGACACTTGTATTTCATTACAGAGCTATTAAGATATCAAAATATTTCCACATAACCTATAATATATGTATACATACAAAGTATACGTAATTTTTTTATATTAAGTATCCAAACAATTATAAATGGGAGTAATACTTACTTTTGATTGAAATTGTCCCGTATTTATCATTGTTCAAAGAATTATCATTGAGAATCTATCCACGTCGAGTATTGAAAATTCGTGATAGTATTTATAGCTCTGAATTTTGTGAAATGTGCGCGAGTGCGCGCGTAAATTGTGGATTCTCATTGATTTATTCGAGAAACTTTCGTCAATGGTATAACGAATAAAAATGTTGAAAACTTTCGTTGAAAATGTTCAAACTCGAAGTAACTAGTGAACTACTGTCATTTTAAATCGCAGTGAAAGCATTTCTCGAGTTTGCTAGTTTCTGATGTTTTCTTTCCCTTGACATCATGTTACACTTAACAATGAATTAACGACAATGAGTTATTAACAGTGAGTTTCGATAAAATATTACGAGATGAAAATTAAACGTCACAATGGAATATAATCGCAAAATAATTATCGATAGTTGCGTCAGATGTTCGAAAATTATTATATTTATTACGTTTCTATTAATACAAAAAAAAAAACGATTCGAAATGAAATTTACTTGCAATTTGCGTATCATTTTAAATCTTGTTATTATATTCAAAATTGGCGCCAATTACTGATCAAAAAAAATCGATAGCCAATCACATTTTGACGTATATTTCATCAATCAAAAGTAAGTATATATACAAAATACAAATTATTTAACGAGCAAACATTTGATTATTTTTCAAACATACATAATTTAAAAATCAATCTGAACTTTTTAACAATCTCCGTTTGTCTTTTATCAATTTGGTTTTATACGTATCATTGTTTTAAAATTATTTTGAACACCATCCATCACCCTCTGACCAATCATGTCGCGTATTTTACGTTTGAAAATTTTTGAAACAGTAACGTCGCGTAATTGAAACAGTGAACAGCGCGGTGCTCCTCGTTCGATTATAATCGTAAAATAGCGCGATTTTCTCAAAGTATATCTCGCTGGCACCGCGTTTCTGTTGCAATTATTTAATCCGGTTTCGTTTCATTTGATGAAATTGCGGAATATAATCGTATATTCGGTTCTCAATTCGTTCACATTCGTCGTGGCCGACAACCGCGCTAAAGGCGCTAATTCGCGAAACTTTTCCCGTGCGCGTCCCGTTGCTTTCGAAGTATCGTCGTGTGATTCGCTCGACATATATCTCATGTGTCTTTCCACCCTTGCACCTCTGTTAATAGCAAGCAATTTCGTGTTCCCCCGGCCAGCTCGTGTAATTGAGCCAGTGTGTGTTAATCAGGGGACGCCTCATTTGCCACGGGGAATAGTCTGAATTGCTTTTGTTACCTGAAATATCCTGCCCCGTTAGTGTACAGTTCGCATATCGATTTTTAGAAATCTCCGGCAAGAAGCAGAACCTCGAGGTGCCAATTAAATTTCCTTCTGTAAATATGAATCATCGTGTCGTCATGCGTGGTGAGTTAATTTTATTGTATTTCATATTTCTATTTCAAATTACATGTAACCTATACAATGTCATATAATATATGCAATCACGTGTCAATTTCTCAATTTCAAAAATTGAGAAGTTTTAGGAATGAGAAATAAACTATAGATATAAGTCATATAGGTATTAAGCGGTTCTCGCACCGGTCTGGTTACCGTGTGCACACTGCTATTGTAGAACAGTTGGCGAATTGTTCGCGGACAGTTTTGCCCAGTGTGGAGTTAGCATAAGATATAGGGATAAATTTAGTTAGTTATTTCGCAGAAGCTACGCCAGCTGTCGCCACTTACTCTACCTTGGTTAAAAGCGAAGAGACACGACGTGAAGTATGTACATGACGCGACGCGTGCGATTATATACGTATATAACTTCATTGTATGACAAGAGGCATCCGTGTCTCGTCTGCGACGAAACAGTTTGATCGTTACAACGACGCGTGCGTTTGCCTTCTGTTTACCTACGCGTGAACATGCAGCGTCCCCGCTTATTAAACGTCCTCGTGGAACGTAGAAATTCTATTTGATTGGAACGGTGCGCAAGTTGGCTCCAGTCTCGTCGCACGTTAACCGTGGAATATTAATTTCACTTTGCCTGCTGGGGTTTCTGTTATGTTGGGGACTCGAATGGGGAGGGAGGAACTTTAACTAACTGAACATGATTGATATTGTGTCGTATAGAAACCGGTCCAGGCCCATCATAATCCTGGCTTACCGGCTGCGGTTGCATTGTCGTCGCAAGCGCTGCAGTAGTACCAACCAACGGCGGAAGTACGTGTGTTAGCCTAAGACACAGTTGATTTTCAAATTAGACTTCGCCGTAAGCGGCGAGCTCGAAATTGAATGGAAACATATTGGAATACGAATTGGGATGGATCGGCCTGGCGCCAGATTATGCGCGGTCAATAGATCCGTATGCGCGTTGTGCCACACCGCGTTGTTTTGAATCAATTAAATTCACCGGATCCGATAATCCTCGTTAGTGTTTGTTCCTACGGCAATTCGTAGTCTTCCGCGATTGGCGCGCGTTGAAATATGGTCGATATTAGAGAGATCGTGGTTTTCAACCGTGTACATGACACGTGACACATGTGTGTCAAGAAGTTAAACATTTTCACGGATTCGTGATTTTGTAACAACGTAATTGAGACGTTCGTTGGTTTATACATCGCATCGTTCTTTTAAAATAGGGATTTCCTATAAATATTAATCCCTCGATTGTACGAAACGTGTTCCTGTTTTTTTATATACAATTTTCAAGCGCCGAATTCATGTCAGGTGTACGAGTGATGATCCAATTACATTTTAAATATACTCACTATATAAACTATAATATTTATAAATATATGTCTATAATTATAATCTTATAATATCTGTGAATATATATATATATATATATATATATATAATATTATATATTATTATTATTTTATTTATTATTTTATTATATATATTTATTTTATTATATATTTATTATATACTAGATTATATATATTTGTGAAAATAGATAGATTATATATATTATTATATTATTATAACAGATAACACGGAACGTGTTAACCTAACCTAAATCTAATCTAAATGTAACCTAATATCTACGATATTCGCAAAATCTATAGTACAATATAATTTACCTAATATTATACTTAACTTAACCTAATACTATAACTTAGGTTAACACGTTCCGTGCCATGTGTACCACCGGTGGTACACGTTAACTTGATCTTCGGGCCACGTGTACCACCATATTTCTAACAATATTTGGTTAAGTTAA